ATACACTATTACTATGGTAATGTTATTGATAGTGGCTCTAATGACAATAACAGTCATACGTAGGCATGAATAGTATTACCAAACAATTTGCTGACTGGAAGTAGGACACTTCAGGATATCATGTCTACTCTTTTCTGTTTTTTTCTTCTACTGCTTGGCAGTTTAAATATCTTTCAGTGTGTCTCTTCTCAAAGTGTTGCTCCTGATGATGCTGACCCTGATTGTTCGGATATACCAATAAGAAATGTCACTTTTCCTAATGAAAGGATCCTACTGGACTCACAGAACTACGAGTCAACTCTTCTTGTTGGAGCAGAAGGAGAAAATAGGACATGGCTAACTATTGATTATGATGGAGGGGGAGTGGGTCGACCTGGTGCTGCTGGTTTTGTTGATTCCGTGAGATCTATTGATTGTTATTATTATTGTTATTATTATTATCTCATGTAGTGGTATGAGGGTAATCAAGGAACACAATGTTTACATCGAATCAATGTTTGTGCTACCCTGATCCCAGGAGGAACATCTTCATTCCAGAGCAATTGGCTAGTAACACAATACATTAATATTAGTGAACCAGGAATAAGCCAATTAAGAATTAATGTAACATTCACATCAAATTTGGTGTGCTCAAGCCAGCAGTGTGCCCAGCAGCAGACATTTGAAGTGCAGACATATGAAACTAATGAACCAGATGAAACAAATAAAGGGAATATCAGTTATTATTCATATGCTGGTGTTCGTCTGATACACACTGCTGAGGAAGGGGCTACTACAGACTCTGAGTCATTTGCTGTGTCTAGTTCTGGCCTGTATCTGGCTATATGGGACCAAGGATCTTGTACTGTCATTAATCGGATTGTCATATTCTACAATATCTGTCCTTATCAAGTATTGAATAAAACTATTTATCCAGAGACAGTAGCTCCTCAAGGGAGCTTCGATCCAGATAAAAATGTGATTGCTACTTGTATTGATAATGCTAGTCCTACATCATCAAATAGTTTAAGTTTAAGGTGTAGGTTATTAGGAGTGTGGATTGGATCAGCTTCATGTCAATGTAATGCTGGATATGAAGCTAATGGTACAGTTTGTCAAGGTATCTAGATCTATATGCAGATTTTTATTCATGCTTATTTAGTGCGTTTATAGTACTACATAGTCATGTTAATGGCTAAGGTCACTTTGCATGATGTTTACTTTGTTATCCATCTATGGTTTACTTTTGCAACTATGAATGCTTATTTTGTCACAGCCAAACATGTTCTTGTGTACTGCATGTGTCCATAATGTTAATAATCTCTGGTATATCTACTGTAGCTTGTCAAGAAGGCACTTATAAGTCTGTCGCAGGAGACAGTGAATGTAATGGTTGTCCTAATAACAGCTACTCAGCTAGTCCTGGTGCTGTGTCCTGCCAGTGTCTGTCTGGTTATTATAGAACACCTCAAGAAGGTGTCGCTGTGAACTGCACTGGTAAGTGAATATGATTCATAATCAAATATGCAGTGAAATATTTTATAGCTCCTCCTAGCTCACCTCAGAACTTAACAAATACTTCAGTTACAAAGACTAATATTAGCATTTCCTGGCTTGAACCTACTTATAATGGAGGCAGAACTGATCTTTATTATGTCATCAGCATTAAAAGCTCAACCAATATCATTGAATATAGTACAGGACATACAAACTACAAACTAATGGGATTAACTCCATTCACAACATATGAAATACAAGTGATGGCAAGAAATGGAGTGTCAGATCAAGACAATGCTAATGATAACACTAGAACTGTTACTATAACTGTCACTACTCATCAAACTG